AAAGTTTCTGGCTTGAAGCCTGAATTCCCTTGGGAGCAGTCAGGAAAGACCTGCCGCTCTGGGGCTAAAGCAGCCTGATCTGAGAGCGTTCGGGAAAATTCCGCCCGTGGAAAAACCCCGCCGCTCTCGGGCTGTGCTTTTAAACAGCTTGAAACGGACATCCGATACTCACCACCTAAAGGGATTGAGTGCGAGGGCGCCTATGCAACTATACGGTGGTCTGCCCTCACACGGGACACCATCTGTCGCAGCGGCAATGGTTGTCGGGGAGGCGGAGACAATAACCAATGCCACAACTCTTACAGAGAAGTGGGGCCAGGAGGGTCACTCTGAGGAGTCGAACCCTGGCTTCAGTCCCAGGAGTTTATTTTATAGTCAATACAGCAAGCAGTGAAGCAAATAACAGAACAATGGGCTTTGGGTGAGTAACAATAAGTCGCGGGCAAGGGAGAAGGAATTCAGGTAAACAAGCCAATCAGTAACGGACAATAGGTTTGGGAAAACAAGTCATGCCTAATCTCTTTCTCACAGCTGACAAGTCTCCAACATGTCGTATACAGCATAGAGACCTGTGGGGGCTGCAGTTGTCAATAGTGCAGCCATGTTTAAATGGCATATATCCCTACAACTGTGCTAAATTTGCCTTCTCAGTTCCTTCTGTGAATAATTGTCATCCTATGCAACATTATGAGTGGACTCTTCTCCCACAGTGCACGGTCAATAGCCCAACTATCTGTCAATATTATGTTGACAAGGCTCTTAAGCCAGTCCGAAGAGCCTTTCCCTCATGTCTTATATATCACTATATGGATGACATTCTCCTAGCCCATCTCAAACCAGTAGAACTTGATTCACTTCTTGTCTCTGTTCAACAAGCATTACAAAGTTTTGGCTTACAAATAGCGCCTGAGAAGGTTCAGTCTTTCACCCCATGGCAGTATTTGGGATACTATCTTGACACCCATATTGTTCACCCTAAAACACCAGAAATTATAATTCCCAAGGCTTTAACTCTAAATGACCTCCAAGACATCCTTGGTCATATTAATTGGCTGCGACCTTCACTCGGTATAACAACTTCTCAACTGACCAACTTATTTGAGACCCTTAAGGGTGACCCTGCTCTAACCTCTATGAGGACACTCTCTCCCCAGGCATGCCATAAATTAATGCTTGCTAACCAAGCCATTAAAGAAAAGTTTTTGACTTGTTTACAGATAAATTATCCTGTTTACCTTCTCCTATTAAATACTCCTCATAGTCTCACAGGCGTGCTCTGTCCATTTACTCCTGACTTCAGAGCACTTGAGTGGCTTTTTCTTCCTTATCGCCCTCCGCAACAGTTGTTTACATGCTTCTCTCAGTGTGTTAACTTATTGATGCAGGGACGCACTCACTCTCAACAGCTCTTGGGTTCTGACCCTCATTTTATATACTTTGGGGTAACGAAAACAGCTTTTGACCATGCTCTTCTTAATTCTGAAGAGCTCCAGATCACTTTGGCTGATTTTACTGGACAAATAATTTATTCTTATCCCACTTCAAAGCCACTCTCTACTCTGCAGCTTCTTCCTTTACAACTTTCTACTATGCTCTCTCCTTCACCTCTTGCTAACGCTCCTACCGCTTTTATAGACGGATCCAGAAAAACCAGAAAGGGAGTGGTCACCTGGCAGACTGGAGGTGCTTGGCAGCATTTTATTACACAGAAAGCATCCACTACACA